GAGCAGACAGTTGTCTGGGACACGCTCAGATGGTGTACGGGGGAACGGGAGATGGACACCAGATGACCTCACTCAGTCAAATGGACTGAGCGCCTTACACTGCCAGGCGCTGACCTCAGACTGGTGGAGGGGACAGATGGGGCGAGATCATTCAGTGCAATGTGTGCCCAGAGCTGGAATGACGCGTGTGGGGACAGGGAGGGCAGCGCAGCCTTCAGGGGTGGGGGCACCCGAGGGAGGTGTCCTGGTGTCTCCTGATCCCTTGACTTCAATCCAAGAGGTACAGCGTGTGGGGTCGGTGGCTACCCTGAGGGCCAGAGGCGCAGCTGGGCATCCTGCCCCTCCCCCAGCGTGACTCGTGTGACTGGGAGTGGCCGGGACCCTCTAACGTCACCACTGCCTGCGCATGCGCCGTCATTTCCGGTGGGCTGGGCTGGGGGGCTGGGTGGGGGAGCGAGGCTGTGCGGCGGGCAGTGGCGACTGTTCTGCGGCGGTCGGGTCAGGGTCCCCAGCCCCGCCTCGCGCTGAAGCGCGCTCGCGGGGAGGGCGTTTCCATCGTGGAGTCCGGCTCCGAGCGCTCCCGCAGTTCTGTGTCTCTCGTCTGATCTCACATCCAGGATCTGGGCTTGTATTTCCGGGAAGCTCGAGTGGGAGCTCGGGAAGCGCTCTTGGTCACCGCAGTGTGACACCGACCCCAGGGGAATCATAATGCCCAAGGCTTGGGGGACATCGAGTCCACGAGGGCTCCGGCCGTCAGCGTCCAATCTTAATGCCCCGAACAAGGAACACCACGAAATAGGTCTGCCTGACACACAGATGAGGTACCAGGCTCTGGGGGTTACCAAGGTCACGTAGTTTATAGTCCCGCACCCCTCCCCCAGCACAGCTCTCTACCCTGCTTTGACTAAATTAGAGGGAAAGGCCTGAAATGGATCCCAGGGCTTGTGGGCTGGTAGCTCAGGGAAGCGGAGGCATTGCCTCCTTTGAAGGCAGATCTGATTTTCCTCCTCATGGGACAGTTTAGAAAATACAAAGTCTGCCTTGAAGGCACAGGGAGTGGTCCCACTGAGCCAGAAGCCTAGGTTCCCATGAACCAAATCAGGCAAAAGGCCAGCACAGGCCCGGTGCATAGCAGGCACCCCCATTCCTAAGCCAGCCACAGCTCTGGGAGTCACCCAGGCCTCGATCACCTATCCCCTACAGAGGGGGTCAGGGAGGCTCCAGCAACCTGGCAGAGTTGGTTGCCCAGCTTCAGCCCACCCTGCACCCCACACCAGCCTTATGGGACGCAGGGGCCATCGAGCCTGAATCAACCCTGTGCTCAGGCAGCAATGAGAATCCAGCCATGGTGACATGCTTGTCCCTGCCAGGTGATGCTTCTGGGGCAGAGGGAGGGGGAAGGTGGCTATAGGAAAGGAGGGTAATTTGGGTAGAGCCATGCTAAGCCTGTGGCCAGCGTGGCAAAGGCCAAAGACTGAGAGATGACCCGGCAGCTGGATATTTTCAAACACGGGAGTCATCTAAGTCGTGATGACTGAAAGCATCCTTAGCTCCAGGAGTTGGAGATAAATCTTCAGGTTGCGGGGGTAGGGTTGTGTTTCATTGCTCTGGCAAGAGGGGGTCCCTGCTAGCATCCTCACTGCCCAGTCCCTGGCCCTCAGCACTTTGCCCTGCTCTCCTCTAGAGACGTCCTAAACTCCCTGGAGTGGCCCTGGCTGCTGTGGGTACATTTCTACAGAGCTGCAGAAGGAGGAAATGAACAAATGGGGGGGGGGGCGGCGGGGAGGAACAGAGACTGAATCTGTGAACATTTGGTAGGCTTGGGGTCCTGACCAGATGCCTCTGGCACTCAGCCCCCCAACCTGCTTGTCCATTAGACTCATTTTGTCCCCCTCTCAGTAAATGGCATCACCATCGCCCAGTTGCTGGAGCCAGAAGTCTAAGGCGTCGCTCTGACTCTTCAGTCAATTCTTCTGTACATCTTAGTTCTACATCCCAAATATTTCTCAACTCTCTTCATCTCCACTGCCACCAGCCTTGCCCATCCGAAGTGACTTCCCTTCTAGATGATCACAAAAGCCTCCAAACTGGTCTTGCTTCCCCTCTTGCTGCCCTCCAATCCCTGCTCCAAAATTGCCAGTGATATTTTACAACTGAAAATGAAAAGCCTTTTTTTTTAAAGATTTCATTTATTTATTTATTTTTCCCCCCAAAGCCCCAGCAGATTGTTGTATGTCATAGCTGCACATCCTTCTAGTTGTTGTATGTGGGACGCGGCCTCAGCATGGCTGGAGAAGTGGTGCGTCCGTGTGCGCCTGGGATCCGAACCCAGGCCGCCAGCAGCGGAGCACGCCCACTTAACCGCTGAGCCACGGGGCCGGCCCATGGAAAGCCTTTTACTGGTTCTCTTTGTCCAATAAAAAAATGTACAGCTGTGGGGGAAAAAAAATCCCAACTCCTTCTCATGGCCCTAACTCCAATTTCATCTCTCCCTTATCCACTCTACTCTAGCTACACTGGGCTGCTGTCAGTTTCTAATATATATCAAGCTCTTTCTGCCTTAGGGCCTTTGATCTTGCTGTCTCCTCTGCCTGGAACACTCTCCCCCCAGAGCTTGGCATGGCTGGCACCATCTTATCCTTTAGGTGTTAGCTTAGCTGTCACCTGAGGGAGGCCTTTCCTGAACGCTGAATCTAAACCTTCTCCCAGAGTCTCTGGCAGAACCCTGTTAATTTCTTTCATAGCACATGCTGCAGGTTGTAATAATTTATTTATCCCCACTAGAATGAAAGCTACACAAGGGCAGAGGCTGCCTGTGTCTCAGCCATAGGGTGTTTTTTCTTCTTCGTAAGTAAACTATTTTACTGAAGTATAACATACATCCAGAGAATTGTACACATCGTAAGTGTATAGGTCGATGATGTTCACAAATGAATACACCTGTGTAACCAGCATCCAGATAAGGAAATAAAACACTCTTAGCCCCTCAAAGTGCCCCATATGACTCCCCAAGGCCAAACACTATCCTGATTAGATTAATTTTTGCCCGTTTTGAACTTTATATAAATGGAATCATGACCCTCAAAGATGTCCACATCCTAATCCACAGAATCTTTGAATATGTTACCTTGCATGGCAAACAGGACTTTGCAGATGTGATTAAGTTAAGGACCTTGAGATGGGGAGAGTATACTGGATTATCCAGGTGGGCTCAATGTAATCACAAGGGTCTTTAAAAGTGGAAGAGGGAAGCAGAAGAGGTCCAAGTGAGGCAACGTGAGAAGGACTCGACCTCCTGTTGGTGGCCTGGAAGATGGAGGAAGGGAGCCATGAGCCAAGGATTGTGGGCAGCCTCTAGAAGGTGGAAGAGGCAAGGAAAGAGATTCTCCCCTGGAGCCTCCAGAAGGGAATACGGCCTTGCAGACACCTAGATTTCAGCCACTGAAATGCATGTCAGACTTCTAACCTACAGAACTATAAGATAATAAATTTGTGTCGTTTCAAGCTGCTAAATTTGGGGTAATTTGTTACAGAAACAATAGGAAACTAATACACGTATTTACTCTTTGTGTCTGGCATCTTTCGCTCAACATTTTATTTGTACGGTATAATATTTCGTTGCATGAATACACCACATTTTATTCATTGACTATTGGTGGACATTTGGGTTGTTTCCAGTCTGGACTATTATCAGTAGTGTTGCTATGACCATTCTTGTACATGTCTTTCAGTTAACATCTGCACATATTTCTGTTGCACATATATTTGAACAGAATTGCTGGGTTATAGGGTCTGTGTTTATAGTGGATGCTGTGATGCATCCCCAGACTTCTCTTCAGGACTGAAGGACCTGTTCCTCCAGCTGCTAGGAGAGCTGCTGACAGATAGTCCTCAGCTTCAGCCCCCTCTGAGAAGAGAGGAGCTGAAAAGAGCTCCTTTGCCCAAGGTCACACCTGCTTCCCAGGGGCAGCCTGCATCCATTCAATGACTGGTTGGTATGTGTGTGGGGGGAGGAGGATATAAAGGCCCTCCCCTCACTGCCACTTAGAATAGCTTTGAAGGGTTGCCCACAGATTCAGAGCTGTCCAGGAATCAGGGGAGGCTTTTGTCGAGGCCACATCCCAACCCAATTTCTCCCTCTGCCAACCCTGCTTTCTTCTCTTCCCCCACAGGTGTTGATCCTTCTAAAAAAGTTGAACACCTTGTCACCAAATGGGTCATTTGTGAAGTGCCTGATCAAGTCTTTTGCCCACTTTTCTACTGGATTGTCTTTCTTTTTCTTGGGGATTTGCAGATATCCTTTCTCTGTTTTCTGGATACACGTCCTTTGTTGGATACATTTGCCACATATATTTGGAGCTGGATATACTCAGGGTGCCTCAACAGTACTGGCACATTGTGGGTCCTAATAAAAAGAGTTACATGAGTGCTTGAGTCTGAAAACGCCTTTAAGGAAAGAATGTGTGGATGAGTGAAACTATGTTTGGTTTTAATGGGTATAATTGGATATAGGATATGGATCCCAAAGAGAGGGAAACAGGACCGTAAAGGGAAGGGCTCAGAATGCAAGTAACACGCCCTCAAACTTCGCCACTCCTGGCCTGAGGTTTCCGGCCACAGGCATTGAAACACTCAACTTCTCAAAGGTAACTGTAAATTCATATTCATTCACTCGAAGAGGGTCCATGGAAGGTATCAATGGGCCAGCCTGTTCTAGGCACTGAGAAACTAGCTGTGAACAAGAGAAAGATCCTTGCTTCCAGGAGATCTAGAGGGAGAGAAACAAAACAACAGGTAAACAAAATAAATTAATTTCAGATTGAGCGGTAAACTGAAGGAGTCGAACATGAGGGAAGGTGGGGTTGATCCAGCAACAGCCAGACCAAAGCACCAGAGAGATCCCGCCCTCGGCCCCGCCTCCAGCTTTGCATACATCTCCTGATTGGTCGGAGGCGGCCGGCCCCACCCCGCGGAGCGGGCCGCTTGGGAAGCGCGGGGCGGGCCCGGCCAAGATGCAGCGGCGGCTCCCGGTGTCGCCGGGCGGGCGTTGGGCAGAGCGGGCCGGAGCCGGGCAGGGGGCGCCCGCTGCGGCACCCGCGCGCTCCTAGCGCCCCAGACCTCCCGGCGGGCCCGGGACCTTCTTGCTGCCGTCCTATCCGCCGTCCCCGCCCCTCCACCCTTTGTGCTGCCGCCGCCCAGTGCCCTCCGCTCCGCAGGACCCTGGCCAGGCCAGACCGCGGTGGCGCGCCAGCCCCGCGTGGGCGCCTGATCAGCGGCTGATGGCTAGGGGGCGCGGCGTGGGCAGGGGCGCTGCAGCCCGAGTCCGCGACGCGGGAGGCCCGACCCGCTTCCGCCGCATTGTCCCGAGCCCCGCGCCCCGGCCCTGAGCTGCGCCGCCGCAGCGCACACCCGCCGCCCGCCGCCCGCCGCCCGCGGGGCCATGCGGAAAGCTGCCGGGATGGAGGACTTTGTAGAGGAAGAGGAGCCCTGGTATGACCAACAGGACCTGGAGCAGGGTGAGCACGGGGGAGGGGGGCAGGAAAGCGGGGTCCGCCCCGCGACCCCTGTCCGCTTCTCCTTTGTTGGGCGTATCACCCCGGACCTGGACCCGACCGGCGGAGACCTGCAAAAGTCGGGGAGCGGTCTTCCTCTTTCCCCTGACGACAGGGGCATACTTCACCCAGCTCGCCCAACCCATCTTAGAGGCCAGAACTGCCCAGGCGCCTCTGGGATTCTTAGGGTCCTGAGTACTGGCTGGAAGTCTTCGGAGGCCAGGAGGTGACTCCTTCGTTGGGTTTTGCTGGGAGGGGTGGGGCGTGTGTGTGTAGGGGGAAGTTATCCCATTCCAAATCCAGCGGCACCCTTCCCTGCCAGGATCCCTGAGCTCTAAGATTCTCAGAAAGTTTCCCCAACTCCCTGCCCATCTCCCCAGGGAGGGGATGGAGGTGCGGGGACCTTGCCGGTGGAGAAGCAGAGACTCCGCGTCTTCAATCTGCCTTCCTGAGGGAGGAGCCCCCTGGCCCTTCGCCTCCCGGCCCGCTCCCAAATGGCTCATGGTTTGGAGGGCGTCAGATTTGGGAATTCTGAGCAATGCGCCAGATTAGAGCCTGAGTAAAGAGGGAGCCACCTCCCCCCCCTCCCCATCTGAGGGCAGAAAGGGTGACTGGAAGGGGGTTAGAAGCTGGTGATGAGGTGGCCGAAGTGACATCACTCAGAATAGGGGGCGGGGCTGTTAGGACAGGAAGGAGGAGGAGGCCTAACAGGGTCAGGGCCAAGGCCTGCTGAAGGGGAGTCAAATCCACCTGCCTTCCCAAAGCGCCTCATCCTTGGGTGGTCAGAGCTGGAGAGGACAAGGAAACATGTCCAGGAGAAGTGACCACAGTCACCCAGCAAACTGGGCAGGTGTGGACACAAGTCTGGTTCAGTGCGTGCTGACACCCCCTCCTTTGGGTTTCCATCCACCAGGCACCCCCAACACCTGGCTTTGCCCTCATGTGAGACATCTACCCGGATCCCGGGCCCTTTGTTTCCTGACCCTGATCCAAGTCCCTAAGTGGCCAGAGTTGCTGGTAGATGAGGCTCTGTCCTTGTGCTCAGGACTGTGGGTTAATCAGAGCCCCTGGGGGACCAGTGTGAGACTGGGGGTGCTGGGCTGAACTCTGCCGTACTCTATGCTCTGGAGTCTCCGCTCAGCCTCCCTGCCTAGAGTGAGATGCCCAATATTGGCATGCCCCTCCCCCATCCTAGGCATTACCCCCAAAATTTTGCATCCCACAAACACCTATCAGGCTCCACTTAAGTGTCAGACACTATTCTGGGAGTTGGGAATAGTCCCAGCCCTGGCCCCGCTAGGTGCGCCCTGGCAGGTGGTGGTGGGCCTGTAACTGAGTGTAGGTGAGAGGATGCAGTGAGAGGGCTTCATGGAAGAGGTGGGCCCAGAAGGAAAGATTGGAAGCTGAGTGCCTCCGAAGATGGCCTCCCGGGAGGCAGATGCTGATACTGTTGCTGTCTCATTTCGTTCCCGCACCCCTAAGAAGTCTCTGGCACCATGCCCAGCCCAGATGTGGGAGGAAGGAGCCAGGGAGTAGGGATGGAAGGTGTGCTGCTTCCGTAGAGGGAGAGGTGTCGAGATTCCAGCTGAGCTGGGTGGCCATGCTCTGGGACCAGGGTGAGGGATGGGCCCAGCAGCCCCCCGCTTTTCTGGCCTTGCTAGTCTGCAGCAGTGGGCCTCACCTTGAAACCCCAATAGTAGCCAGAAACAAGGAGGGATACCAGAAATGAGACAGTCTCAGAAGAAATAGAGCTTTTGACCAAAAACCAAATGTCTGCTCGCCTTGGGCCAGTGCTGTGCTGAGCCTGGGAACATGATCTGCCCTCAGGGGACTCTACATTCCAGCAGAGGACGCAAAAATGGGATCAAACTAGCTACTGTCACAAGGGATAGGGGTTCTGTAGCAGCCGTTGGCGCAGCAGACAGTGAGAACAGAGGCGGGAGGGCCTTGTGCTGTGAGACTCAGAAAGGCTTATGCAAAGGCCTCTCCAAGCTGGAGGGTGAGTAGGGCCTCCCCGGGCAGAGGAAGGAAGGCAGGCATTCTAGGTGGAGGGGACGCTTGTACCAAGGCATGGAACAACGTGAAAAGACCACATGTGACTGGAAAGTAGGAGTTATCTAGAGTGCTAGCGGTGGGGGTCGAAGTCCCAGGCATGCGGCTGGCAAGGAGAGCTGGATGGGGGAGTGAGCATGGGCCAAAGGCTGGCCACATTGGGGATCAGGTGCTTGTTGCATCCACGTTCCCTAAACCCACTCCCCAAATTCTCTCCTGCTCAGCTGCTCCCTAGTTGCCTCTGAGTGTCCCAGGAAGTGGTTTGCTCAGCCAGCCCAGTCTCCCCTCGGTGTCTGTTTCCCTTTGCCTGGAGGGCAGACCTGACCTCACTTTCGGAAGCTTGGCCATCGAGATCCTGTTTGACTTTGATGCTCTTCTGTCCCAGTGGAGGGAGGCAATTGGGGCAAGCAAGGTCCTCAATTCCCGCTGTGTCCCTCTGCCCACTGCCACAAGCACCTGTAAAAATAGAAAAAGCCGTTAATTATTAAGCACTGGCACTCTCTCTCCCCGTCTCCCTCCCCCACCTCGGACCAGGCGTGGTGGGCCCTGTGGGTACCTCTTTCCAGGCTGAGAGATGGCTGCTGAGTCACAGATTTGAAGTCCTGGGTGCCTGACCTTGAGTGTCAGCCTCAGGGGAGAGCTCTAACATGGCAAGGGGAGGGAGGTGATGACCCCAGTTCTCTGGACCCAGAGTCCCTGACATTGGTTCCCCGGGAGGCTGTGAGCAGGACACCTGCAGCCCTGCCAGGTGGCAGATCGCCTCCTTCCCCGCCGTATCTCTGTCTCTTCTTTTTTTTTTTTTTTAAAGATTTTATTTATTTATTTTTCCCCCCAGAGCCCCAGTAGATAGTTGTATGTCATAGTTGCACATCCTTCTAGTTGCTGTATGTGGGACGTGGCCTCAGCATGGCCGGAGAAGCAGCGCGTCGGTGCGAGCCCGGGATCCGAACCCGGGTCGCCAGCAGTGGAGCGCGCTCACTCAACCACCAAGCCACGGGGCCGGCCCTCTCTGTCTCTTCTTCCCTGTGCCTGTCCCCTGCCCCTTTCCCACCTCTCTGCCCTGGAGCCTATGGGGCCCCACCGCGACCCCAAACAGTGAGGAACAGTGGGATTTCAGGGTTTCTTTTCTAAGACATCCTGATGGCTCCCAGCCATTCCCTCTCAGACCTCTGGGGAATTGCTCATGGGCAGCACCTGAGCAGGCATTCAGAGGGCAAAACTGCCGAAGCCTCTACAGGAGACCCCAGAAAACTCCAGGGTCCAGGCAGCGGAGGTGCCAGTTCGGACTCAGTACCTTCCCCGACTTGGTCCAGTGTGACCACTCATCTGGCCATGACAGGCTGTTTATTACTCTGGCTTCTACTTCTGGCTTAGCCAGCTTTCCCATTCTCCCACTTCCAGCCTCCCTCCATCTCTGGACCAGGGTGAGCTGCACCCTACCGGAGCCATCACCAGCCCTCAGCTAGCTGATGTCCTTTCCCCAACACTTGGCTCCACTCAGTCCCCTGCTCTGCAGCTTCTAGACTTCTCTCGTGATCCCTCCTGGCAGCTTTGACCAGCTTAGCTTGCATCGTGATCCAGTTTCCCTGAGACAGTCTCTGAGATTCTCCCCCACCCCAAACAGCTTCTATTGTGTTCCCTTCCTTCCCATCCCTGAATCACTAGGCGACCCAGGTCGCATTCGCTGCCCTCGCAGGACAAGCTTCAATGTCCCTGGTTTATAGTGTGACTTGCAGCTGCCCCCACCCGCTGGCAGTAGGAAGACACACGCAGCTCACATGCTCACGTGGAAGGAAAAGCATAAAGTGCAGTTGTTGTTGGCCCTTCTTCACTCCGCCTCTGAGCCTGTGGCCTTGGACTCTAGGTTAAGCTGCAGGGGCTCCACAGAGGCCACCCAGGGACCCTGTCCCCTGATGCTGATGTAGGAGGTGTTATCAGTAGCAGTGGCCTCTTCACAGACCACCTGACAGTTCCCAAGGGAGAAAATATTGATGAGTATGGCCCTCTGTTCATCATTTTCTTTTATACCTGAATTATTTGATAGTATTTGGGGATAAGCCGAATGCTCGCCATCCCATTTGAGAATAGGAAGATGGCGTGGCTCCCTCACCACGAACTGGGAGTGGTCTTGCTGGGCTCCTGAATTTCCACCCAGCACCCAACATAACACAGGGCTGCAGTTCTGTGATCCTAACATCAAACTTCACACTTTGTAGACAGATGCCTCCAGACTTGCCCAACTTATAGTTAATAAATTCATACGTCAAGTGTCCTCATTCCCCTACTAGGTTTGTGTTAGGTAACTAGTTTTTCTTGACATCATCAGAAAATTCATTGCTCAAAGCTAAGGGTTCTTCTCTGAGATTTATATGATTCAGTATTTTTTCAGTGGCTGAGGTAGGTGCCCGGGAAAGCGGCTTTTATTTTTCCAAGCTGTTATGGCAGCCTTGCTCCAGGATAGGAGCTCTGCACTCCTTCTCAGCCAGGGAAGGCCTCCGGGTGACATCTGGGCACAGGGCCCGTCTCCCAGCTTAGGCCCAGCCTGGATGCTCCACTCTGGCTGTTTCAAAACCTCACCTCTCTGCGTGGGAGCAGACTCCAGGTTTGTTGCTGACCAGCGACTTGGCCTTTTGTCCAGGCCTGGTGTCTGGTCAGGCGCATCTGGCTTTCAGAAGGCGATGTCAGTCCTACCCCAGCTTGGCTGAAAGAAAGCCCAAGGCTCTGCTCTCAGATGCCCCCCAGAGTCACTGCTCTCCAGGGCTCTTCCAAGAGGAAAACCCTCACCCCAGGCCTGTCCTGGCCGAGCAAGGGGCTCAGCTGAAAGCACTGTATTTATGAAACTTGCCAGGGGGTGGTATAGAGACTGTTTGTCCCCTAGGCATCCTAGAACAATCTCTGTCTGAAAAGGGAAGGCGGTGAAGAGCTGGATCCCTGGACCGCATCACATCAGCCCCAGTACGGTTGCTTCCATGCATGTGTCTTCATCCAGATTGACACCACCAGCCTAGATTGAGGGCTGTTTTAAGAAACAGCCTCTGGGGCCAGCCCTGTGGCATAGCGGCCCCGTGGCGTAGCAGTTAAGTGTGCGCGCTCCACTGCTGGCAGCCCGGGTCCCGACGATCCCAGGCACACACTGACACACTGCTTGTCAGGCCAGGCTGTGGCAGGGTCCCACACAAAGTGAAGGAAGATCTGCCCAGATGTTAGCTCAGGGCCAGTCTTCCTCAGCAAAAAGAGGAGGATTGGCATGGGTGTTAGCTCAGGGCTGATCTTCCTCATAAAATATAAAAATAAATAAATAAATAAAAAATAAAAAGAAACAGTCTCATGATGGGAAAAAGACCCAAGCTTTCCTGGACAGCATTTTGGCAGAATGAATCAAATAGGCCTTGGTAATTCTGTTTCTAGGAAAGCATCCTCAGGAAATAGGCTGTGATTTGTGCAAAGATTTTTGTACTATGAAGTTAATTACAGTTTCATTTTTAATAGAGAAAAAAATTGAAAACACCCTAAAAGTCCAACAATAAATACTATTTAGGGATGGTTATTTAAGGACCTGCATACAATAGAATATTCACCTCCACTAAAAACGATCCTGTAGATCAATGTTGACACAGAAAGCTATGCCATATTATTAAATGAAAAGAGCAGGTCCAGGGCCGGCACCGTGGCTTAGACGTTAAGTGCACACGCTCCACTGCTGGCGGCCCAGGTTCGGATCCCAGGCGCACACCGACGCGCCGCTTCCTTGGCCATGCTGAGGCCGCATCCCACATACAGCAACTAGAAGGATGTGCAGCTATGACATACAACTATCTACTGGGGCTTTGGGGAAAAAATAAATAAATAAATAAAAATTTAAAAAAGAAAAGAGCAGGTACAGAAAAACGTGATTCTGTTTACACAGAATTGTATCTATAGCTGTTGTAAGCACAGAGAGCTGTTTAGAAGGGTGGGTACCAGCATGTTGACAGCACCTTACTCTAGGTGGTGCTTTTCCTTATACTCCGTCTCTCCCGTCTCCTCCCCCAGTGTGACTTTAATTACTTTCAAATGGCTACGTTCTTTCATAACCATGTGGGGCCGCGTCTGTTGTTTATGGAATTCCCATTTATAGACCTAAGAATATATGAGGTACATTTTCAAATAACTTTTTGTCACCGTTTTTTAACCTTTCTGTACTGTTTGTTTACGTCGTGTGCCTTAACACAAACCTTAAAGCTCTTTTGTTTTTATTTTTTATTTTTTTTCCCCCAAAGCCCCAGTAGATAGTTGTATGTCATAGTTGCACATCCTTCTAGTTGCTGTATGTGGGACGTGGCCTCAGCATGGCCGGAGAAGCGGTGCGTGGGTGCGCGCCCGGGATCCAAACCCCGGGCCGCCAGCGCTCGCAGCGGAGCGCTCGCAGCGGAGCGCGCGCACTTAACCGCCAAGCCACAGGGCCGGCCCCGAAAGCTCTTTTAAAAAGCAATAGCCTTGTGAACTCGGCCTGAGCCCATCTAAGGACCTCTTTAAGGGCCTTGCTCCCCACCACCAGTCTCAGCTGCCTAAATCTTTTTTTTTTTTTTTTTTGTGAGGCGATCAGCCCTGTGCTAACATCTGCCAATACTCCTCTTTTTTTTGCTGAGGAAGACTGGCCCTGGGCTAACATCCGTGCCCATCTTCCTCCACTTTATATGGGACACCGCCAGAGCATGGCTTGCCAAGCAGTGCGCCGGTGCGCACCCAGGATCCGAACCTGTGAAACCCGGGCCGCCGCAGCGGAGTGCGCGCACTTAACCGCTTGCGCCACCGGGTGGGCCCACAGCTGCCTGAATCTTTTTTTAACAGCTTTTTTGAGATATAATTCACACACCATATAATTCACTCATTTAAAGTACAAAACAACTCAGTGTTCTTTAGTATATTCACAGAGTTGTACAATCATCACCACAATCAATTTTAGACCATTTTCATCACTCTGCCTAATTCTTTTTAGAAACAAAGGGAATATGGGCCGCCCCGTAGCTTAGCGGTTAAGTGCGCGCGCTCCGCTGCTGGTGCCCGGGTTCAAATCCCGGGCGCGCACCGAGGCACCGCTTCTCCAGCCGTGCTGAGGCCGCGTCCCACATGCAGCAGCTAGAAGGATGTGCAGCTATGACATACAACTATCTACGGGGGCTTCAGGGGAAAAATAAATAAATAAAAATTATTTTTAAAAAGGGAATAATATATGTATAAATATTTGTTTTATAAATATTTTATATTCATATTTAGAAATATATTATTCCATTTGTTTCTAAAAGGAGTTAGGCATATATCTGGGGGAATATCCACCTCAAGTGCCTAGGTGCCCTCACACAACTGCAGACACACTAGAAAGAATTTTTAGGGATTCCAGCACCTGCCGCCTCCTTCTAACTTCTCCCCCTCCCCACCACACAACCCTCTAAAAACAGACCAGATCTCCTCCCAGCCCCTCTGACAGGTGTTCATTTACCTTGGGCTGGGATGGGGGAGAGGAGGTTCCCGTCCTATAGGGTACAAGAATCAGGGATGCTAAGGGAAGAGGATGGTTTGGCTGCCCGGGGAAGGGAGAAGGTTTCGGAAAAGGTCATGTGTCACTAGGACCAAATGGTACCTGACCAGGCTGAGGAACCCTGAATTCTACTCCCAGCATGGCCATAACCCAGCTAATGATCTTGGGCAAGTTATCCATAAAATAAGAAGGTTGGGCCAAAGAGCTCTGAAGCCTCATCCAGTTCTAATGCCCAGCAACCCCTTCTGCCTGCTCCGCCTCTCAGTGAGCTCCTAGTCACCCTTCCAAGCCCAACTCAAAGGCTGCCCATTGCCTGAGCCTCTCGCTGTACCCAGGAAAAGTGAACTCTCCCTTACCTATCGTCCCAGGGCATTTTGCCCCTATGTCTGTTGATGCTCTTATCACATTCCACTCATTCATTCTTTCAGAAAAGATTTATTAGGCACCTGCTCTGTGCCAGGTACTGTTCTAGGTCCGAGGATGTCCGTGAATGAGACAGGCAGAATCCCTGCTCTGTGAGCTTACAGTTAGTTGTGGGAGACGAACGAGGTAAATGAGCAGGTTGTTTGTAAGTTAGATGGTGATACTAAGTGCTAAGGAGAAAAATTAAGTGGGAGGGAGTGCGAGGTGGGGGAGGGTGCAATTTTCAATCAATGGGTGGGGAAAGGCATCATGGAAAAGGTGACATTTAACACAGACTTGAAGGAGGAGAGGCATGAGCCCTGGACGAGTCTGAGGAAAAGACTTTCCAGGTAGAAGCGACAGCCAGTGTAAAGGTTTAGCTCCCGGCTTGCATCCCCTTCCAGGCCTCGAGGCTTCCCAAGGGTGGCCCCTGCGTCCTGGTCATCTTGGGGTCCCTGAGGTCCAGCCCATAATGAATGTGGGGGTCCTCTGACTTCATTCCCACACTGTTCATGTTTCTCCCACCTTCTGCACCCCCCTCCAGACTTGCACTTGGCCGCAGAGCTGGGGAAGACGCTGCTGGAGAGGAACAAAGAGCTGGAGGAGTCCCTGCAGCAGATGTACTCCACCAACGAGGAGCAAGTGCAGGAGATCGAGGTGAGGGCCACACAGGCCCTGCACATGCTGCCCCACCCACCAAGGGCCCCTTGGCCTGTGTGTGCCTTTGTGCAACTTAGAGAAAGGCACACTCTTAGCAGACACAGCCTTGGCCCAACAGCCTTGTGCAGTTCACAACCTGCATAAGTATTCCAGGCAGCCCTATTGTACCACTGTCTTTACCCCCACTCTGCTGTGGACGAATACCCCAGAGCAAATCTGTTCCTAGAAGTGGGAGGGGGGTCCAGGCAGAGACATTTGCCCCACCCCTGTCCTGAAAGGTGACTCAACCTCCCCGCCCCCCCAGTACCTGACCAAGCAGCTGGACACGCTGCGGCATGTGAATGAGCAGCACGCCAAAGTGTACGAGCAGCTGGACCTGACGGCCCGAGACCTGGAGCTGACCAACCAGAAGCTGGTGCTGGAGAGTAAGGCTGCCCAGCAGAAGATCCATGGGTGAGGGCCGGGGGAGGGCTGGGGCAGGTGAGGGAGAGGCCCAGGGCTGGGTGGGCATGTGGGTGTATGGACTGGTGGATGTGACTCATGTTCCTTCTTCTAGAGGCCCACGCCTGGGAACCTGGGATGGTAGTGCGTTTGCCCTTGTTGATTTTGGGTGGTTTAACATTCAGGCGACACCCCATCTTTAAGCACCAGCTATGTACCAGGCTCTGTTCAGGCACTGGGGATATAATGATGGGGATGCAAAGACACTGTCCCGCCCTCTAGGAGCTCACAGCCTGGGAGGAAGGCAGGCGGGTAAATATTTTATTGCAGTGCAGTGATAAGTGACAGAAGAGGGTACAAAGAACTGAGGTGGCGCAGAGGGGAAATGGTCAGCTCGGCCTGGGAGGTGGGGGAGAAGGGTGGGTCCTGGGAGTTCCCCGTCTGACCTCAGCACCAGGCAGCATGGCTCAAGGCTGCCCATCTGCCCCAGCACGCAGGGCTGCAGTGAGGAGGACTGGCCCCATCCCCTTAAAGTCCCTCTCATGCCTGTCCCCCACCCCCAGGCTGACGGACACCATTGAGCGCCTGCAGGCCCAGGTGGAGGAGCTGCAGGCCCAGGTGGAGCAGCTGCGGGGCCTGGAGCAGCTGCGAGTGCGCCGGGAGAAGCGGGAACGCAGGCGCACCATCCACACCTTCCCCTGCCTCAAGGAGCTGTGTACCAGCCCCCGGTAAGTGAGGGCCCCACACCTGGACTGTCTCTCCGAGTGCCTGGGACGGCCAGCCAGGGGAGGAAGGAGAGGGTGGGCACCCGGCAGCAGGTGGGATTGAGTGTGGGTACACGGCCCAGGCCATCAGAGAGACTGGTCCTGTTGCTAACAACAGGCAGCAGCTGGCATTTACCAAGCACTGGCCGTGTGCCCGCTGCTCTAAGTGGCAATACTGTGCGGTGTGTTATCATCCCCTCTACTCAGATGAGGAAATTGAAGCTCAAAGGTTATGCGTCTTACCCAGGTCTCCTGTTTGGTAAGCCAGAATTCTAACCAGGAGGGATTAACCACTACACCTTTCAGTTCCCATTCAATCTTCTTAATGGGACGACTTCTTAATGTAAGAATACATATGGTGTATTTAGTGGGTCTTTCAGTAAGGGTCTTGGCAGGAGACAGCACCTTGCACAGAGTAATTGAGCAGTGATTCATAAAGAGGTGTGGGCAAGGTGGAGGGAGAGCTCAGGGACACTGCAGGGCCCCAGGGTTTTAATAGCCAGGAGCTGTTACCATCCCTAGGCCTACAGGGGCTAGAAGGGAGGTCATGGGAATCGAGAAGGTATGGAGGGTGCTGCCTGGCCACACTAACCAGGAAAGGAGCCTGGGGAAGACATTCCCCACCACCTCCTGCTCCCACCCTCGGACTTCCTGCGGTGCCTCTATTAGCTGAGCTCAGGAGAGAGCCCGAAACCTGGCTGAAGCAGTCCATTGGTGTCGACCTCCCAGGGTCGAGAGCAGGGGGAGAAGGGCCGAGAGTGGATCTAGAGGAGCAAACACAGTTTCCAGCCCAGTGGAGGAGAGAGATGTAAGTGTCCAGGGCTGGGCTCCGGAGCCTTGGCCGTGACTACCGCCTTCTGCCCAGGTGTGAGGATGCTTTCCGCCTGCACAGCTCCTCCCTGGAGCTGGGCCCGCGGCCCCTGGAGCAGGAGAACGAGCGGCTGCAGACGTTGGTGGGCGTGCTGCGTTCCCAGGTGAGCCAGGAGCGGCAGCGCAAGGAGAGGGCGGAGCGCGAGTACGCGGCGGTGCTCCAGGAGTACTCGGAGCTGGAGCGGCAGCTGTGCGAGATGGAGGGCTGCCGCCTCCGCGTGCAGGAGCTGGAGGCAGAGCTGCTGGAGCTGCAGCAGATGAAGCAGGCCAAGACCTACCTGCTGGGCCGGGAGGACCACCTGGCCGAGGCCCTGCTGGCGCCCCTCACCCAGGCCCCTGAGGCCGACGATCCCCAGCCCGGCAGCGGGGACGACTCAGGCACCCAGGACGGTGTCTCCTCTCCGGCCGCCTCCCCGGGCCACGCTGTGCGCAAGAGCTGCAGTGACACGGCACTCAATGCCATTGTGGCCAAAGACGCTGCCAGCCGGCACGTGGGCAACCTCACGCTGCACGCCAACAGCGTGCGCAAGCGGGGCATGTCCATCCTGCGGGAGGTGGACGAGCAGTACCACGCGCTGCTCGAGAAGTACGAGGAGCTGCTGAGCAAGTGCCGGCAGCACGGGGCCGGGGTGCGGCACGCCGGCGTGCAGACCTCGCGGCCCATCTCCCGGGACAGCTCGTGGAGGGACCTGCGGGGGGGCGAGGAGGGCCAGGGGGAGGCCAAAGCGGGTGAGAAGAGCTTGAGCCAGCACGTGGAGGCGGTAGACAAGCGGCTGGAGCACAGCCAACCCGAGTACAAGGCGCTCTTCAAGGAGATCTTCTCCAGGATCCAGAAGACCAAGGCTGACATCAATGCCACCAAAGTCAAGACGCACAGCAGCAAGTGACCCTTCCCTGCCCCGGCCTGCAGCCGCCCCCAGGGTCAGGCCATGGGGTCCCTCATGCCTGCGCCATGCAGCCTCTGGTGAGTGAGGGAGCCCTTTAGTAGCAATATATCCTAGTGGAGGCCGCTCTCTGACCCAGGGAGCGTGTGGGGGATGCAGCATGTTCCCTGCTGAAAGGGGAGGCAGTCAACACATCCTGCCTCCCAGGACCCTCCACTCAGCCCAAAGGCACAGCTCAGAGTTTCAAAGCCAAACGTCCCCACTCCCCTGGGGATTCCCAGCACCCCCAGCCCCTGGCTTCCTGACCCTGGGCCTTGCTCTCAGATTTGTGGCCAGGCTTCTCAAAGCCATTCTAGACCAGTCGGCCTTTTTTTTTCCCCAAGTTCTGTTTTTTTGAGAGATTTGCAATGCAAGGTCTCCCTGACCCCTTGCCACAACTGGAAACACTTGAAGGGAGACCCCAGAGCCAGCTGTTGCAAGTTTCAGGGGTCTCCTGGACCACCCACTGCTTCTCCCCAGCTGTGATGCACTGTCACTCCCTTAGCACCAGCTGCTCCACCCCTAGGGTCCTGACCAGGTCAGAGATGGCCCCTGCCATGCAGAGCAGAGAGCCTCAACCAGGCCCCAGGTGCCACCCACTCCAGCCCTAGTTGGGGGGACCTCTCCCTGGAGACCCTCAACCCAATGCACATCTGTAGCCAATCAGAGGAGGGGAACAGGGAGCTCCTTGGCAGCCGTGCACCAGCAGTGCACGTTTCCCTCAGACCCAGCCTCCTTAGGTTCCAGCCCTGGAAATGCCTTCTGGGCATTAAGCCTTCCAGGGGCCTGGGCCGTGGGGAGACCCCATCTCTGCACGCCGCCTCTGACTCACCAAGCTTGGCCTCTGCCTGCCCCCATCTCAGGGACCATGATGTCTCATTCACTCCCATGCGCCCCATCGGCCTACCCCGGTGCAGGTCATGCCTGCCACCCCCAGAATGCCCCAGGCATGTGCTGCCAGCCAGTGGTCCCAGTGTCCGCCCCTGCCCAAGATTCTCACTCCACACTGAACAGTACTGAAATGGGCCCATGATGGGGAACATGTCTTCTCCCTCCTCCCTCTCATAAAATGCCTGCTCTCAACCTCCCACTTTTAGGGGGGGGGCTTTTGAGGACCCAGCCGGGTCAGGGGGTTAATCTTGTTAAGGCTTCACAAAGCCTTCAGCTAAGAGATGCCCAGGTCCCCAGCTTGCCCTGAGCTATATTCTTCAGGGCTTCCAGTTCCTTCTGCTGCCCATCCTGAGACTCTAGAAATCGGAGGATCCATACAGCCCAGTGGAAGGCAGTGGCCCTGGCCTCTGTGCTGGGAGCCCAGTGGGGAACTTCCATGCCTTATTCGTTTCTGAGGGGTAAAGGGGTTTTCTTAACAAGCATGCCTGACCTCCCTGGAGGCGCCACCCTGTTCTCCGGGCGGCACTGTGATGAGAGGCTGTCGGCTGGTCCTTCCGTTCACACATCTTGGAAGCTTTTGTCCTTTGGAGCTGGGCAGCTCCCAGCCGTCCGTGTGTCTCTGTCATCTATGGTGGAGGGAGTGGGGTGGGACGGGGTGGGGGCAGGGCTGCCTATTTGCTCCCCTGTTCTGTCGCGGCCCACCAGCATCACCTTTGAAGTATACATCAGAGAAATATATTTACAAATGCTTTATTCTCTTCTTTAATAAAAAACGCATCAGTATTCTAAAAGCAGAATGGTCCGTGGTCCTGTGTCTGTGTGTCTCCCACACCCACCTCCTATCACACAGCAATGGTGGGGGAGGGCCATCCTGAGCTTCACTCCCCTGTGACTGGCAGCCAAACAGCTCTAAATAGTAGGCTCTCGGAAGTTTCCATATTTATGGAATGCCAGCTATGTTGCCTTGCAGGGCGCCCCGTGCTGGGGGGACCCTCCTTGCTGTACTGATTTTGCAAATCCCTCCACCCAACCCACACCTGCCAACAGCACAGGTGACTTCAGAAGCTGAAGAAAATGCTCCTGAATCTTTGAGGGGTCAGTTTCTTGCTGCCTTGCCACTCTCCCATTTCCAGACAGAAAACTCAGTTGGCTCTGGATCCCAATCCCACGTGGAAAAGCTTCCGAAGTCTTCCCTGGGAGGTAGGCTCAGGGACCTCCCACCAACACCCCTCCCGCCACGTTCCTGAAGGAGCCAGGAGCAACCTCCCTTGGACCCTGGAGGTGAGGACGGTTTGGTGTGGGGAGCCCAGAGCTGGGCCCCATATTGGCAGTTTCTATGCTTTTTACATCAACTGAACTGCATGGGGGTTTTAACGTGCCCAGCATACGAGTGGCTGTCGGATTTTCCCATCCTGCTGTGACCTGTCTCCAGTGGGATGGAGAGCACGTTGTGGGTGTGATACCCAGAGCAGTCATATCCGAGCACAGGAAGCTGTTTGTGGCCTGTATCCAGCCACCCTTCTCTCCCTCGCCTTTTAAATTGCCCTCTGAATATATTTTTTCCCATGCCTTCTTCCTGCTGCTAATTTGCCCTTACTCGGCTGCCTCCCTAGGTTTCTCCTGTTTCTCCTTCCTGAGACTGACAATATTCCCCATCCCAAGACCAAATACACTGAAACTCTTTGTAGGGAATTGGTCCCCCCTTTCACCACCCTCCCTGCAAACCCTGAGCTGAAAGCCTGGGGGTGTTTTCAGGGAACTAGGCAGATAAGGGGTGGTGGTGAAGGAAGCAGCTTCCAGGACGAAGGGGGCAGTTGTGCCCACTCACACATGCCAGGAGGCATGTACTGTGCTGCCTGCCCAGCCCTCAGAGAAGGAAAGGAGGTCTGGAATAAAGCTAGTCAGACTGGATTTCCCAACCCAGTGTTGCAGAGAAAAAATGCTAAAAGCCATCAGATCTGTGAAAGAAAAAGTTCCTTCAACGACCCTGTACACACTTCGCATCCCTTAGTAGCAGCTAACTTTTGTTGCCTGCTGACTTTGTACCAGCCAGTGTTAAGTGCTTTATATGTGTTTAATACCCTCAGCTGCCTTATGAGGCAGCTATAAAATCTCTATTTTACTGATGGCGATCCTGAGGCTTAGGGGTTAAGTTAGTAATTCAAAGTCACATAGAAATATTCGAACCCAGACCTGACCAATGCCACTATGCAATACTGCACGTTCCCTATCTCTACTAAAGTTGAGTTTTAAGAGCCAGTCTGACCCAGTACATTTCAGAAAAGAAGAAAGGAAAATCCTGTGGACCCCCTACACAGGAGTGGGACCCCAAGTCACAGGCCATAGAGAAGGACTGGTGCCTGCAAGCTCCTCGGCTGCCAGGAATGGCTGGGTGATTCTCTATCTTCTCTTCCCCTCTTTCTTTTTGCCCCTGTGAATGTCCCCTTCCTGAAGCACCGTTTCAGCCTCTGGAGGACCAAGGAGGGGAAGAAGACTGGCCTCAGCCTTCAGTGCCCAGCTTTTTAAGCGAACAGGTGGCCTCCCTCAGGTCTGTTTCTCCCAGAAGGGCCTCTATTCTGGATGGTTCACAGCAGCAGCAGGTGAGAGGAGCTTGCCAGCTGCTCTTCTCTCCACCCCAGGGCAGCTTGTCTCATTCTCTCCACTACGCCCCTCATCTCCCAGAATCCAGGCCACCAGATGGCCCAAGCACACAGTGTTTATTTGGGGCCATAGAAACCTGCAGCTTCCTTTTCCTATCGCTCTGGGTCAGGCTCAGAGCTGGAGCCCAGCCTCAGAGCAATGATGCCATGGAATGGTGCTGACTTATTATTCATAATCCCTGAGCCATCCACCTGGGTGAGTCCCTGGCTTTGCTCCCCTGAGCAGCTTATTCCAGTCACCATGGACACACCTCTATTTCCTCTGAAGTCTTGGGACTAAGTCAGACAGGGAGGGACTCAGGAGACTCCCCTCCCAGCCTAGAGACCAAAAGGTGTCTGTCAATTGCCATTCCCTTCCTAGTTTGGGTTTACAAAGCCAGTGCCTGGAAAGTGGTTTATTAAACCTCCCAAAGAATTTGCCTGCTATCAGTGAGGCAAGGATGGTAAAGCCTTGATGGTAAAGCCTTGATTTAATGACAATCTCCTGTTTCAAACAGTCAGCATCGCCAGGGCATATTTTTCTAGGTAATTATGCTTTTCCTAAAAATAGAACTCTTCATTAAGAAACAACCACTGGTATTACTAATAATCACTAACATTTATTGAGCTGTTTTCATTTACCACACTGCCTCTCAACTAAGTAACTTAGCCAACATTTAGCTATTTCCAAACACTGCTAAATGCTTGAACGTTTGTCAGAGTTAGACCTTCTCAGTTTTGGAGTTCATATCTTAAGAGCCCTGTAAAAGGGCTCTGCTTAGCCTATCTGTGGCTGTCTGAATCTCTACCTACTTCCCGAGGCTCCGCTTATCTCCTGGCCAGGAGAAACCGCCATCATGCTCCACAAAGCTGCTGCTTCCCCCACAAAACTGGAGGAGGGGGCATTTTAAAAAACATTTCTTTCTCGACCTGCCTGCCTGTCCTCTCATCTGGTATTTGTCCTGCAGATCATCACACACGTGCTCCATGGACATTTGTTTACAGGCTGCCTTGGGAATGAGCCTGAAGTTGACTAAAACTCAGCTCTAGCAGAACTCAGCTTTCAAAAACACATTCCCAAAGAATTCCTGTTATCAATACTTATTGAGTACCTATGATGTGCCAGGGTCTGGGTGCTGGGGCTCCTGCACTGAGCCAGTGTCCTCCAGGGGCTTATTACATTCTGGCTGGGAGACAGGCAATAAACTAGAAAAATAAGATTGAGTGAGGTGAAAGAAAAAAAAAAACCAAAGTAGAGCAGAGTAAAGGTGATGGAGATGAAGTAGGCCAGACAGGGCAGGCCTCTCTGTTGATGTGAGATTTGAGGGGAGAGTGGTCCAAGAGGAGGGCACAGACTCTGAAAGGAAGAGAAGTGGTGTTTCTGGGGGACACGGGATCCGGGGGTACTTTTCACCAGGAGGCTCCCTTCAGAGCTCGCTGTCTGGCCAACGGCTTCCCCACCGCGGCAGCGGACCTCACAGCGCCAACCGGGCCTCCCGGAGGCGGCGGATGGGGCGCCTCTAACAGGTGCCGCAGGAAAGCCACGCCGGAAGCTCACCTTGCCGCCTTCCCCCGGCGGACACTAAAAGCCGCGCGGAACCAAAGTCCCGAGAGAAGCGCGAGCTCGCGGACCGCGGAAGGCGGCGTCCACCGGAAGCGGCTCCGAGACTCGAACATGGCGGCCGCCTGGTGTCTCCGCTGCGGCCTGAGCCGAGCCGGAGCCTGGCTGCTCCCGCGGCTCGCGCGCTGCCCCTACCGGCCTCTGCACAAACAGGTAGACGGCACCGAGTTCCAGAGCATCTACAGCCTGGACAAGCTGTACCCCGAATCGCGGGGCTCGGACACCGCCTGGAGGGTCCCGGTGAGCCGGGAGGGCAGGACGGAAGGGGCGTTTTGCCTCTGCTGGGCGACGTCAGGAAGCCGGGGCCCCATTGGCCGGGCGTGGAGCCAGTTGAAGGCGCCGCGGCGCGCAGAACGTGGCGGTGGCGGCGGGTGGGAGCTGGTTGCCCCAGCAACTGGGGACAGGGGCCGCGGGGCGGGTCGCGGCGCGTGGCGCGTGGCGCGGATGGAGGTGTGCGGGCGCCAGGAGAGCGTGCTGCATATGCTGCTTACAAAACAGCCAGCTTTTCCGCGTTCGTTCCCCCGCCCGCAGGCCCAAATTCTTGTCCCGAGGGAAAATGTGGGCATTCTGGCCCTCCAGAGTGGACCACAAAGGCCAGAGGCTGCCAAGTTGTTTACTTCTTTTTGGAACCTTTTGGAAAGTTACAGTGTCTGTAGCCTCTATGAGCTCCAGCGCGCCTGAAGAAACAGGCGTTCTCGTTCGTTTCTTCAGACTGCATTTATTGACAGCCTGCTGTGTGCAGGCGCTGTATCAGGCCCCCGAGCAGGAGAGATAGGACCCAGCCAATTCTGTTTCCACCTACAGGACTGGAAGAGAACATTCATTCACTGATTTACTCATTCAACAAACTTCTGTTGAAAACATTCTGTGTGCACTGTGCTAGGCATGGGGATAGAGGAGCGAACAAAACACAAAAATCCTGATGCTTGCAGAGCTCATCTTCTAATGGAGGAAGACAGGTAGTAACCAAAATACTATAGAATATGTGAGGTGGTGATAAATACTTTGGAGAAAATAAAGCCCAGAAGGAAGAAGGTGTTCTAAGGTAGGGGTAGGGTTGCAGTTTTAAGTAACATGGTCTGGAAAGGCCTCTGAGAAGGTAATATTTGATTAAGGACCTGGAAGAAGCAAGGGAATGAGCCGTGAGAGTAGTGGGGAGATGAGCATCCTCACAGAGGGAACAGCAGGTGCAACCACCTCAAAGCAGTAGCATGCTCGACTTGTTCAAAGAACAGCAAGCAGGCCAGTGTGAGCAGGGGAGTCCGAGGAGATGAAGCTAAAGAGGAGAGGGATGGGGTGGAGGAGGCCCATTTATAGGGCTTACAGGCCTTCAGCTTTACTCTGAATGCAGTGGAGACCTATTGTAGGGTTTGAGGCAGAGGAGTGGAATGATCCAACGTAGTTTTACAAGCATCACTCTTATAGAGCCTTATAGGGAAGAGACTGTAGAATGGCAAGAACAGGAAGACCAGTTAGGAGTTTGCAATAATACAGGCAAGAGATGAGAAGCAGGATGGAAGCAATAGGAGTCATGAGAATTGATGAGGTTCTAGATATATTCTGAAGGGAAAACCTAAAGGATTTGCTAATGGATTTTCTATGAGAAATGAGAATAAAAGAATTGCCGTCTGGGGCCTTGAGTGATATAAGGATTGAGTTACCATTAATTGACATGAGAAAGTGCAATGACATTCATTTGTTTGTCTTTTCTTTCATTCAACAAAAAGTTTGTCATGCACCTGCTATGTCAGACACTGTTTCAAGCATTGCAGATACAGTCACGATAGACAAAACAGACAGGGTCCATGCTTCATGGAGCTTATGTTCTAGTGGAAGGAGCAGGCAGTAAACAAATGGGGAAAACATATCGGGTAGTGAGAAGTAATGAATAGACTAGGGTGCTGTCAGAGAGAGTGCTGGGGAGCTACTTCAGATTGTTAGTAAGGGAAGTCCTCTGTGAGGAGGCTGGAGGTTTGACGCGTCCACTAGGCATCTGAGAGGAGCCATCAAATAGCAGTTGGCTATATGAGTCTGGAGCTGAAGAAAGAGGTTTAAGTCTGAGCCAGAAAGTTGGGAGTCATCAACATAGATGATATTTTCATCCAACATAGATGGATGAAATGTTCTAGGGAAAGAGTAGGATGGAGAAAAAGGATTTCAGGGGCATGTCAGTGTTTAAAGGTTGCAAAGAGCAGGCAAAGAGAGTGAGAAAGTCGTAGGGAGGTAAGAGGAAACTGGAGAGGACAGCTTGGAAGCAAGGGGAAGAGGAGGCTTCAAGGAGGCGTGGGCCATGGTCTTCAGTGCTGCAGAAAGGTGGAGTAGGATGAGGACTCCATCCCTAGATACTTCTAAGATGAAAAAGGAGGAAGGCAGCCAGAGTGGCTACAGGTGAGAACGGATGGGCTTGGATGGCCAGAAGAGCCTCAGTGGGGGTAGTGTTGGCACTGGGCCTGTGGACATGAGGATTTAAGGCTGGAGGGCATTGCTACCGAGGAACAGCGTGGGAGAGACCTGGTGGTGAGAAATCCTGGAGTGAGTAGTTCAGTTTGACACAGACCCTCAAAGCAGATGTGCTAGTCATTTTTCAAGGCAGGCAGCCTCCCCTGTGAGCCTCTTGTGGGCTGAGAAGGTACAGGGTGGCCCACCAGGTTTGGTGCTCCGGGTTAGTAGAAGGCGTTCCTTTTGGAGTCTGCCTGATGCATGTGTACTGTGGTGCCTTCCGTCCCTCCCCGGAGGCAGGCCTCTGATGGTGCCCAACACGAGCTAAGGTGAGGGCAGGGAAGGCTGGAGAGGTCAGTTCCATTTTCCTGGAAGAAGTTTCTGAAGTGGTACCTCTGGAGTCTGGGGAAGCTTTTTCTGTCATTCTGATGTGATTTTGCTGAGGACCTGAAAATAGTTGTATTACATTTGCGTTGTGGCTTTATGTAATTTCTTTGGTTGCCCTGGACCAGTTAGGAGCCACCCAGCAGGTAATGTTTATTTGACACTGTGCACATTACATTACAGGATGATGCAAAGCAAGCCAACAATGACATTCCTCTGGGTAAGTAATTTTGTTTTATTTTTTTATTTATTTTACCCCCAAAGCCCCAGTAGATAGTCGTATGTCATAGATGCACATCCTTCTAGTTGCTGTACGTGGGACGCGGCCTCAGCACAGCCGGAGAAGCGGTACGTCAGTGCGCGCTCGGGATCCGAACCCGGGCCGCCAGCAGCAGAGCGCGCGCACTTAACCGCTAAGCCACGGGCCGGCCCAAGTAATTTTGTTTTATAAAAAATCTGTCAGGGCCGGCCCAGTGGCGTGGTGGTTAAGTTTGCATGCTCTGCTTCAGTGGCGCGGTGTTCGCGGGTTCAGATCCCAGGCACAGACCTACACACTACTCATGAAGCCACACTGTGGCGGCATCCCATATGCAAAATAGAGGAAGATGGGCACGGATGTTAGCTCAGGGCCAATCTTCCTCACCAAAAAAAAAAAAATCATTTCCCCCACCCTTCATACATTCCTCCTGGATCTCTCCAGCTTAATGAAAGTAAAGAAATTGTCTTTGGGTGTGCAAAAGTGCAGTCCTTTCAGCATTGTATAGAATAGCAAAAAATGATGATGGAGCCACTCTGGAGTGCTGTGTGGTGTGCAGCACAAATGGAGAGCTGTGGATGTTCTTGTGACATGGAACAATCTTTACAAGAGGTGAATTGATCATTATTGGAAAAAAGTAAGATGCAGAAGAGTATATATAGTAAGCTACCATTTGTGTTTTACGTATGTATATCTGAAATATATATTTCTTTTTTTTTTTTTTGCTGGGGAAGGTTCACCCTGAGCTAACATCTGTTGCCAATCTTCCTTTTTTTTTTTTTTCCCCTCCCCAAAGCCCTAGTGCATAGTTGTATATTCTAGTTGTAAGTTCTTCTAGCTCTTCTATGTCAGCCGCCACCACAGCATGGCTACTGACAGGCGAGTGGCGTGGTTCCACTCTTGGGAACCGAACCCCAGCCACTGAAGTAGTGCGAGTGCCAAACTTACCACTAGGCTATCAGGGCTGGCTCTAAAATATATATTTCACTATGTATACATAGATCTGAAAGGATGTATGAGACATTGGAAATAAGGACTGCCTTGGGGAGTGGAGAGGAAAGGACAAACTTGGTGGCTGGGGAACAGGAGTGGGGACTTCTCCCTGTAAACCAATTGCATGACTTTAGCATTGTGAACCCATCAAATATAAGGCAAGGCCTTACAGGCATGGCCTGTAAAGAAACGAGCCCTTTTTAGATTCAGAGAGTTTATGACATCCACAGATAGTGAAAGGAAGAGAAGCCAAAGGTGCTGGCTCCCGGTGTCCCTTGTTCAGGGTGACACTGAAACAAAGATGCCAGGTGACTGCAACACAAGGGAGAGGACACCCTGTGGCCACAGCTGGGCAGTTTGATAGCCTGCAGCTGTGCCCTGAGGCGTGCATGTGGCTGGAGGAGGCAGAAAGCCTGTCTCATCAGAACTGGAGATGAAGAGACTATCTCATGACAGCCTCCAGGGAGACAGGGAGGAGAATGGGAGTTGGCCCTGTTGCAGCTCCTCCCCTGCTTCCTGTCTCTTGTGCTCTGGGAGGATCACAGGCGTTCCTGCGAAGACAGACTCGGCTGCAGTGGAAGTGATGCCTTAGTTGCCTGTGTGGATGCAGGCAAGGTTGGACACCATGGTGGAACCACCCCCCCCTACAGCACCGCCTGCATTCCTTACCTGTTCAGGAAAATGAGTTAATTTGATTTTTCAAAAGAAGGAAAGCCTCTTAGGAGCAGTCCCAAGATGGGTCACCCATCTGCCCGCTGAGGCCTGCTCTCCACCACCATGGTGCCACAGTTCTTTGCCACCCAACCTTCTTGCGGCTCACCATCCAGTCTTCTGAAATTTTCTCACTACCACACCTTCCCTACTTTCCTCAGACACTATGAGGCTGCTTTTCATGAATTACAAAAGTAGAAGGAGACACCTCATTTTACAGATTCAAAACAGACAAACAAAACTAAGACCCAGAGGGGCCAGCCCCATGGCATAGTGGTTAAGTCTGGCGCACTCTGCTGTAGCGGCCCGGGTTTGTGGGTTCAGATCCTGGGCACAGACCTACACCACTCGTCAAGGCATGCTGTGGCAGCAACCCACAAACAAAATAGAGGAAGATTGGCCCAGATGTTAGCTCAGGGCTAATCTTCCTCACGCAAAAAGAAGAGGAAGATTGGTGACAGATGTTAGCTCGGAGTGAATCTTCCTCACAAAACAAAAACAAAAACAAAAACTGAGACCCAGAGAAGCAGTGGGACTTTGCCAAGATCACGTAGTTAGTCAGTGGCTGAGCCAGTGTTAGAAGGAAGGCGTCCCGGCTCCCAATCAAGTGCTCATTCATCCAGCAGGTGGGTTTAAACACTGACTATGAGCTGGCACTGGGAATACATGGTGAAATAGACACACGCCTGCCCGCTTGGAGCTTCTGGTCTATTTGGGATTCCACATCCACCGCATTTAATGAAATACAACATTAAGTTTGTCCTTTAGTTTGAGCTTTTGAAAGAGTCCTTGCTTTAAAATAAACTAACAGCAGAAAGCTAGGGCAGGCAGATCTGGTGGAATGTACTGGACCAGAAGCAGCTAACTCAGGTCATAATTGTACATTCTCTGTTGTCTGTGTGGCCCTGACAAAGTCACTTACTCTTGATTTTAGTTTTGACATCTGTAAATAATTTCTAACTTTACTGATCTGAATGTTCCATTTATATATATAAAAATCATTGAAAGAGACATTTGTAATAGGGATAGTTATATTGATAGTAAATTAACAGTTTGCATATTTTGCCATGGCATAATCATTTTTTTGGTGTGTGTTCTGTTTTACAGATCGCTTGACAATATCTTATTGTCGGAGTAGTGGTCCTGGGGGCCAGAATGTTAACAAAGGTACAGGGTGGCTTGTTGTTTTCTTTCATTTTAAAACTTAGCTGAGAGATGGACTTGAGGAGTTCTATGTTTACATTCATGTGGAATAAAGGGATTTTTTTAGCAGAAGCTTCAATACCACCAGCTTATAATAATTCTCTTTATTCTTTTGAATGTGGTCTGATTCGCCGACTCTCAGCAGTGGGTTGCTTGGACTAGGCTTGGCTTGTGAGTCTAAACAAAGGGAAATCACAGTATGAGTTGGCAGCCAGCTCCGAGAACAGGTTTCCTTCATTCTTATGGAACCCATCCCCCCGTTCTTTTCAGAACCCAATAAACTGCAAGAGAAGCACTGGGCATTTAGTTCCTGGAAGTTTATTTTTGTCCAGAAGTGCCTCACTGTCTTTGCAGGATCATTCTATGGCCAACTTTGTATCCCCAAGTTGATACAGGATAGAAGTGTATCTGGTTGGGTGTCTCACCCCTTTGTTTCAGGATGGTCACCAGCCATCCAGGTGCTGAGCCCGAGAGTCTCAGTGACCTGTGCTCCCTCATCCCTTTATTTACAGTGAATTCCAAGGCTGAAGTCAGGTTCCATTTGGCAACCGCCGACTGGATTGCAGAGCCTGTGCGACAGAAAATGGCCATCACGGTAAACATTGGCTCCCTTCTTTTTCTGTAATTCCTCAGTCACTTTTAAACTGTTACTCTGTAGAACTCTGGTTTTGCCTCTGTTCTCTGCAGCATAAAAATAAGATCAACAGGTCAGGAGAGTTGATACTCACCTCTGAACGCAGCCGCTATCAGTTCCGAAATCTGGCAGATTGCCTACAGAAAATTCGAGACATGATTGCTGAGGCCAGCCAGACAGCCAAGGAGCCATCCAAAGAAGATGCTGTGCTACAGAGAATCAGGTACCAGAAAATACCCCAAGCTTTTATCAGCTGAGTCATGTGGATGAGGGGCTGCACAGGGAGGAAAGGAGGCAGACGGCTGGAAGAGCTCCGGGAATGGGAGGAGACTGACGCTGAGCCGAGGCTCCCCACCAGCTGGCGCCTGCTGATTCGGCTCCTCTGCTTCCCACTGAGCTGCCAGCTCTTCTCACCACTTTGAAAAGCACTGATTGGGCATCTGGGACTAATTGAGGTCTTTTTGTTTTCAGGATAGAAAACATGAATCGGGAGAGGCTGAGAAAAAAGAGAATAAATTCTACTATAAAGACAAGCAGGAGGGTAGATATGGACTGAAATTATCTTCCAGAGCCGGCAAAGACTCTCTTCAGGGCGTCCAGGCAGCTGCAGCTGAGGGAGCTTTAACACCGCTGGGAGACTTTGTTTTTGTGGTTGTTAATGTCTGTCTCTAACGTTGGAGCCATCACAAGAGTGTTCGTGTGGAATGAGGGTCGCAGACACTGGTTGCAAAGGTCTTTATAGGAAATCATGTGTTGTCAAACTTTAATTATCCATTTGATATATTAGCTACAATAAAATTCTAAAGATTTTATTTATTTATTTTCCCCCCAAAGCCCCAGTAGATAGTTGTATGTCATAGCTGCACATCCTTCTAGTTGCTGTATGTGGGACGCGGCCTCAGCATGGCCAGAGAATCGGTGCGTCGGTGCGCGCCCGGGATCCGAACCCGGGCCGCCAGCAGCGGAGCGCGTGCACTTAACCGCTAAGCCACGGGGCCGGCCCTACAATAAAATTCTAAATGCAATGGGCTTCCCTTCTCATTCAGAATACTTCAGAACAGAATTCCTGCCTTTTCTTGGCTGAACTCTGCCTCAGAGTTATTGACTGACACTGACTGCTTGTCACAGCCGGGGGAAACAGGATTGAGTTGTGGTGTCTGCCCTGAAGGAACACACAGTCAGGTAGAAGGGCTGAGGCAGGTGAGTGGGCATCTGAGCTGGGCCTTGAAAAAGGTATAGAATTTTTTTTTTTTTTTTTAATTTATTTATTTATATTGATGTCTTAGTTTATAACATTGTGAAATTTTGCTTGTACATTTTTGTTTGTCTATCGCCATATACATGTCTCCCTTCACCCCTTGTGCCCACCCCCCACCCCCTTTGCCCCTGGTAACCACATTACAGTTCTTTCTGACCATGTGTTGGTTTATAGTCCACATATAAGTGAAATCATGCGGTGTTGGTCTTTCTCTTTCTGGCTTATTTCACCTAACATAATACCGTCCAGGTCCATGCATGTTGTTGCAAATGGGACAATTTTGTCTTTTTTTATGGCTGAGTAGTATTCCATTGTATGTATGTATATACCACATTTTCTTGATCCAATCATCAGTCAAGGGACACTTGGGTTGCTTCCACTTCTTGGCTATAGTGAATAATGCTGCAATGAACATAGGGGTGCATAAGCCTCTTTGGATTGTTGATTTCAGGTTCATTGGATATATTCCCAGTAGTGGGATAGCTGGATCATAGGGTATTTCTATTTTTAATTTTTTGAGGAATCTCCATACCGTTTTCCATAGAGGCTGCACCAGTTTGCATTCCCACCAGCTGTGTATGAGGGTTCCCGTTTCTCCACATCCTCTCCAACATTTGTTGATTTTTGTCTTGGTGATTATAGCCATTCTAACGGGCATGAGGTGATATCTTAGTGTTGTTTTGATTTGCATTTCCCTGATGATTAGTGATGTTGAACACCTTTTCATATGCCTATTGGCCATCTATATATCTTCTTTGGAGAAGTGTCAAACTGTTCATTTCCTCTGCCCATTTTCTGATCGGGTTGTTTGTTTTTTTGTTGTTCAGTTGTGTGAGTTCTTTATATATTATGGAGCTTAAACCCTTGTCAGATATATGTTTTGCAAATATTTTCTCCCAGCTGGTGGGTTGTCTATTCATTTTGACCCTGGTTTCGTTTGTCTTGTACAAGCTCTTTAATCTGATGAAGTCCCACTTGTTTATTTTTTCTTTGGTTTCCCTAGTCTGACTAGGCATGGCATCTGAAAAGATTCCTTTATGACCAATGTCAAATAGTGTGTTGCCTATATTTTTTTCTGTGAGTTTTATAGTTGCAGGTCTCACCTTCAGGTCTTTGATCCATTTTGAGTTAATTTTTGTGGATGGCGATAGCAGATGGTCCACTTTCATTCTTTTGCATGAGTGGCTGTCCAGTTTTCCCAGCACCATTTATCGAAGAGACTTTCTTTTCTCCATTGTATGTTCTTAGCACCTTTGTCGAAAATTAGCTGTCCATATATGTGTGGTTTTATTTCTGGGCTTTCAGTTCTGTTCCATTGATCTGTGTGTCTGTTTTTGTACCAGTACCATGCTGTTTTGATTATTATTGCTTTCTAGTATGTTTTGAGTTCAGGGATTGTGATGCCTCCAGCTTTGTTCTTTTTTCTTAGGATTGCTTTAGCTATTCGGGGTCTTTTGCTGCCCCATATGAATTTTAGTATTCTTTTTTCTGTTTCTGTGAAGAATGTCATTGGGATTCTGATTGGGATTGTGTTGAATCTGTAGATTGCTTTAGGTAATATAAACATTTTAACTATGTTTATTTTTCCAATCCATGTGCATGGGATATCTTTCCATTTCTTTATGTCGTTATCAATTTCTTTCAATAATGTCTTGTAGTTTTCATTGTATAGGTCTTTCACTTCCTTGGTGAGATTTATTCCTAGATATTTTATTCTTTTCGATGCAATTGTAAATGGTATTATCATTTTGAACTCTCTTTCTGTTCGTTATTAGCATACAAAAATGCAACTGATTTTTGTAGGTTGATTTTGTACCCTGTGACTTTGCTGTAGTTGTTGATTATTTCTAATAGTTTTCCAATGGATTCTTTAGGGTTTTCTATGTATAAAATCATGTTGTCTGCAAATAGTGAGAGTTTCACTTCTTCGTTGCCTATTTGGATTCCTTTTATTCCTTTTTCTTGCCTAATTGCTCTGGCCAAAACCTCCAGAACTATGTTGAATAGAAAAAGGTATAGAATTTTAATCGGTAGAGGGGGGAAGAGGACATGCCACTTGAAGGGAACAGTATGAAAAAAGAAGACTAAAGAAAAGGCCGGGGTGGAGATGATGAGGAAGCCATCTGAACAGTGGATTTGTGCAGGGAGATTATGAGAGGTAAGTCTGGAGAGGGAGATAGATGCTCAGTGTGGAGATTTTTCAATTCAAGTTAAGGAGTTTAGATTTTAAGAAACGTAGGTAATAGGGAACCACTGAGTGGGAAGAAGTGTCATGTGTTAGTGCTGTCACAGTCTGGGGCTTTGGAGGCAGGAAAAGAGTGAGTTGGAACTGGAAAGAGGTTTTTGCAGTCCTATGGGTATGGGAAGTACCCAGGCCAGCATAACAGTAGCAGGTTACTCTGACATGTATGAATGTTTTAGAATGTTCTCTCTCTCTCTCTTTTTTTTTTTTTTGGTGAGGAAGATTAGCCCTGAGCTAACATCTGTACCCATCTTCTTCAATTTTATGTGGGACGCCTGCCACAGCATGGCTTAATCAGTGGTGCACAGGTCTGTGCCCAGGTTTGAACCTGTGACCCTTGGGCCGCCGCTGAAGTGTAGCTCATGAACTTAACCACTACGCCACCAGCCCAGCCCCTGTTCCCTCTTATTTTTAACTAGATCACTCATTTGACAAACACTGTAGGGATGCTCTAAATGCAAGATAACGCACTGTAGTAGTACATATACTTATGTGAGCAGTGACCTCGTCATTCATGTAAGTGTAACAAAATCATTGATCAATGACTTACAAAATACAAAAGATGTGGAAGACATGGTCCCTGTCCTCAAGGGACGCAGAGCCTAGAAGGGAGCTGAGGTTCATATGCAAGGAAGTGCAACATACATTAATTCATTCGTTAATTCAACAAATACTGAGTGAAAGCCAGGCACTGGGTGAGGTCCAAGGGAATCAGAAATGAAAAAAATAAAGTCCTTTCTTCCGGAGAGTTTATGTTCAACCAGGTAACGATAAAAGCTGAGAAGAATGGATTCCTGTTACTGTACATGACCAAAACGTGGTAAATAACATAAGAAAGGTCTAAATAGTTTATGGAAGGCAGAGAAGCAACTAGTTCCAGCTGGAAGGTTAGAGAAGATGTACTTGAGGTGCTTGAGAGGGACCAGAAGGAGGGGAGGGGCTGGCTGTGCGAACAAGGTAAGAGCTTGTCACCTGAAGGCTCCAGTGTGGCCAAGGGCCCTGCCTGTGGCCAGGACAGTGAACTATGGTGTGGAGAATGGGCTCTGAAGTTCAAGTGCCCCAGGTCTGCCCTGCCCTCTGCCACCCGCAGCTGTGGAGCTTTGGGCAAACTACTTAGCCTCTCTGAACCTTAGTTTCCCCATCTGTAAACTAGGGATGATGCTATTAGTGCCTGCATCAGGGGGCTGTTATGGGGTTTAAATGAATAAGTGGTCAATGGCACTGAGCATGTACTCGGGGAAAGTTAGCCATGATGAATAGCCCAGGTTGGCTAGACCCCAGGGGATGAGGAGCTGTGGAAGACACGTCTGCCACATTGAGTGGGACCAGCTCTAGAAAGGCCTTAAATGTGACATCTAAGATGTTTAGACTACCCCTACAGAGGCTGGCAGGAGATTAATCTGACTGTGAATGGATGAGGAAAGACTGCAGGGAAGTGAGCACAGGTTGTGGACTGACCCTTGTGAGCAGTCATCCTGGAACTAGGGCAGTGGCAACAGAAATGGGGAGAAAACAGCAGATGCAAAAGGATTATGGGGACAGAAAATTGGCCCAGGTGGAGTGGGAGCAGGTGTGTGACATGCGTGATGCTGTACATCGAGACAGGAGAGTCACAAAGGGAGCAGGCTTGGGAGGATGGTTGGAGGGTAAGGATGGTTTTGCCTGTGAGGAGTTGACTTTATGGGATCTGAGGAAGAATACCTAGGTAGTGTTGGCCAGGAGAGGGAATGGCGCCCTGGAGCTGGGGAGTGAGGTTGCAGCTGGGAGATGCAGGATGGAGGCGCACAAGTCAAGTCTTGGGAATGAATAGGAGCAGTTGAGGATGAGGCAAGGCAGAACCCGAGGAGATGCTGGCTTAGATGGGAGCGGCAGGAAACCAGAGAAGGCATCCTTGTGGGTTGACTCTGGAGCAAAGTACTGGACTCGTGAGACCCTCAAAAGACAATGGTGGCATGTGAAGTGACCTGGAAAAAGCATTTGAGACACACAGGAAGGGAAGGAGAGGTAAAGAGAAACAGAACAAGCTGTGGGACAGAGTAGAGCACAGGGGTAGGACTCACCCTTAACATAAGCTGAGGGCAAAAGAATGAACACAGGTGAGTCTCAGAGACACAATGTTGAGCAAGAGAGCCCAGACTACCAAAGAGTATGATTCCATTTACATGTAGTTCAGAACAAGGCACAACTGCTTTGTGGTAATGAAAATCAGGAAAGTATTTACTTGGGGGAGCTGATGATTGGCTGGGAGGAGGCACCGGGAGCCTTCCGGGGGGCTGGAAGTGTTCTGTATTTCATCTGGCTCTGA